TAAATCGATGTGTAGGTGGCCTCAGAATGGAAGATCAAGGTGTTCAAAGTCCTCAAACCTTTCTGGTGAAGAATTTTTCCTTCCTTCAAGCGCCACGAAAACATGAAGATCGGAGCGCTTTCAAGTAAGTTTTGATGACAGATCGCAGAATTAAAGCAGCTTTTCAGACTTAAGAAACAAAAATAGTACTGTACATTATTACTTCAAAGTTGAATTCAACTTTTGAAACGATCGGGAAGGCCACAGGCGTTAAAATGACTGCAAAAGCTGTCAGCAAAACCTCAAGCTTTCGCATTAGCGGGAAGAATTATTTGAACACCCAGTCATGCAGCAAAGCACGTCTGCGAAATTTTGCACAATTTTTTGCTTTTAAATAGGTTTCTTCGCCTCAGCTCAAATGGAAATTCAGTGTTACTGAACTTCCTTTCGCATTTCTTTCATTTGGCTCCCTGTATTTGGGAATTTTAGGTTTTAAAAGCGAACAGTAACTTGCACGCTGGATTTCTGCATATTTAATTTACGGCGACGTCCAGGCGCTTTCTTTATTTAGTTTATTCGCTTCGTTCAAATATTTTTTGGAGTCTTATACCCCGTTCACACCAAAAAGTTAAACACGTTTAACTAAACATGGTTAAAAAATTACCCGTTCACACCGCGCACGCTCTCAAACTAAACACGTTTAAAACCTGTTTAATTAAACTACCTCTAAAAGGTAGTTTAAACCCTGTCTAACCAACATGGCGGAGGAAAGAGACGATAAAAAGCGGGGAAGGGCATGGGAAAAAGAAGAGACAATAATTCTTTTGGAGAAGTGGGGGGAAGAGAATATTCAGCAACGTCTGAAAGAATGCACCCGAAAAAAGCCAATTTGGCAAGAAATAAGCACTTATCTAAACGCTTCTGGGTACAACGACAGGGATTGCGACTCGTGCAAAACCCGAATCCACACATTAATCTCGGCCTACAGAGGCTACGAAGATGCGCTGTCGAGGTCCAGCAACGCAACTCCTAAAAAGAAGGCACCCTTCTTTGACGAAATTGACGAAATTGACGAAATTTTATCGGACAAGCCAGCTACCAGACCGGCTATCGCCCTAAGCTCAACCGTTCTGGAAAGTACTCAAAGCAAGGAGACGGAGCTGACGGACGGCGAGAAGAGCCCACAACCCAGTTGCAGTTTTCCAACCTTGGAAAAACAAAAACGAAAGAAAGCCGACGAGAAGCATCTTCCCAGTCTTCTCGGTAGGTTTGTTGTTGTTTCCATGTTAATGAGAAAATGTTACGTAGTTTGCCACCTGACCAACTTATTATGCAACTAACGTCACGTGAAAAAACATGACAAGATGAGGCCCTTGTTGATTCGGAGTTTTGCGAAAGCCACGTACGATTCAATGTTGTTTACTCAATTCTTCACCTCAAACCACAGATTACAGACCACTACTTTCGCGAAAAATCCAAAGAAGTGGACTAGAACACTGTGGAGGAATACCGAGGATCAGGAAACGCTTTATTGCTTTTCACGACCATGGCCAGGGCTGCTTTGTCTGGTTTTATTTTTCCATTTAAAGTCATTTTCAGAGCTTGTGTTTTGGATGTTTGCTTTTTTTCATTAGCTTGTTTTACAGCTTTAGCCCGCAAAAATCTACCTGTATCACAAAGCTCAAAAGCTTGCATTTAATGGCTGTCTTGCATACGGTATTTCCACTGGTAAGTGCCCACACTTTAATAAGTGCCCTCCCCTGAATGAGCACCCACCCCCTCAACCAAAATAGCAAATAAGCGCCCTAACTTTCTTAAATAGTAAAGATACAAGGAAAACCTGTTTCTATTGGCAAATAATTTCCAATCTTGTAAGCTGTAACTACACTGGCATCAGTACATGTAGGAAAACAGTTTATTTTCTGTTAGTCACTTGTAGTTTTTTCTATATCCATGTGCTTGCAGAGTTCTGTTATGTGCAGTAGCCAAAATAAAATTCTGGAAGAGAGGTACTGGTATAGTGTGATGTTTTGACTCTGAAACAGGGTCAACATTTACCGAAATCCCTTTATTTTTCCTGAGCAAGTATAGCTGTGTAACAATACTTCCCATGTTGTAAAGTCAAGTATGTGCTTTATGTTATACTTTCTCTCATTGGTTTTGCACTTTTTGTCTAGAAAAGGATTACAGGGTTATCTTTTTTGTGACTATCAGGTCCAGTACCTCCCCTTGGAGGGCCTCAAAACAAAACAAAATTTACTCAGACTGTACCTTTTAAATTTCATGAAATTTCATTTGTAGCCTTCACGTATCAAATCTGATTGTTTTTTTAGGATCAACATTCATCTTAACATGCCTGTGAGTAACCTGTAAAATCAAGCACTGTTATCCTCAGCTCTTCTAGGAAGTTAAAACTATGGGGGGAAATTTCAGTTTTGAATATGGCCCCCAGTAATGTAGTGAGGATGGCACTTGAAATGACAATCTGTTAATTAAACACCCCAGTTAAAACAGCTCTGTAATATTAACAGATAACTTTTTCATTCAAGATTTATTGTCCCAAAAGGCCAATCATTCTGCTCTCTTATACTCGGTCATAAACACCTGTGACTTGCAGTTTGCAGGGAAACATGACTAGCAGTGCATGCGTTGCAGGAAACATTGTAAAGTTTGATGTCCTTATTTATATGCAGAGGTCTGCCCTCTCTTTTCTTTTGTTGTTTACTCGCTTGTCTTTCTGTTTTGTTTTGTCTTTAATAGAGGCAATGAGACATAAATCAAAATCCAAACAATCCCTAGGACTTGAAGCACACTGCAAGACTATCCCAAACCAAAATTACATAATAAAAAAATTCTAGCTGAATAGTATTTCTGAACCAACGAAATACCCAGAAGGAACCTAATAATAACAGAAAAAGAATAGCAAATTATAATGTTTTTGTTTGTTTTATCATACTATCTGAGGTACCAGTAAGCTCTTCCAAAAAGAGGATAATAGTCTGTCAAAAGAGACAGACTCTGGAAAAAGAAAACTTCAAAGAAGAAACTTTATTGAGAAAGTACTGTCTTGCCAAAATTCTCTAATCCAAAAATATTCAGAAATCATGAATAACAAACCCAAAAGAACTCTCCACCCCTCCCCGTCATTCTAACGGCTAGCAATAAAAATGTCAGAAACACCCTCAGGATAAGTACTTAGACGGAAACAAAACTGGCCTATGAAATAAAACTCTCGAGAGAATTCCTTATTTCAGCTTCCTCCCTGTCTTGTTTTTCTTCTCTGTCACATGGTTGGATGTTCAGGTGTAATTGCACCTCCTCTAGCCATCCTTCATCAAATTCTTCTTTCATAACCTCACAATAGTTATGAAGAACACAACAAGCTGTGACTGTTATGGTTGCATTTTCAACAGACTGATCTAGCCTTTTTCCAAGGGATCTAAATCGTCCCTTTAGTCTTCCAAATGCATTTTCCACCACCACCCTTGTTTTGCTGTGTGCTGAGTTCAAGGCCACCTCCTCATTGGAAAGGTTTCCCCGGTCAGTAAAAGGCCTCATTAACCAGTTGGTGAGTCCATAGGCTGAATCACCAAGAATGACGGGTGGTACCACAACGTTGGCGATAACTTTGCTTAACCCCATGGGAAGAAATGTTCGTGCACAGCAAGCATCATAGAGAGGTGAATTCTTAAAAACACGAGAATCATGAACCTTCCCAGGCCAGCCAACATACATGTCCCTAAAAAGATAATTGCTGTCCACCAAACCCTGGAGGATTATTGAATAAAATCCTTTTCGATTTACATAATCTTCAGGATTTTCATTTGGTGCCAAAATTGC